CCAGACAATCATGGCAGGAGGGTGTGGGAGGGAAAAGCTGCTTACCTCACAGCAGCCAGGAGGCAGAATGAATGGGAAAGAGCCTGAGAGGAAGGGGCCAGCGACAATGTGTAGCCTCCAAGAAGCCACTCCTGTCAACTAGGCCCCACGGCCTAAATTTCCTTTACTTCCCAATAATGTCACCAAATTATGGTCTCACTCTGGGAAGCCCAGCTCTGCACACGTGAACCCTAGGAGGACATTAGGTTCTAAGCCGGGTCACCACGCTGTTCAGGAATGCCCATGCCCCTTGCCAGCCCTTTCTAAAGCTTTGTTCAACCTATGGCCTCCAAGGCCACCTCCTACTAGGTGTCGCCTAGGGCTGGCTCACTCTAGTTTTCAGGTTTCTGTTCTTGCCTTTTGTGGCTCCTGGTGACCTGTCACACCAATCTTTGCTTCTCTCTTGATGTGGCCATTTTCTCTCAGCAAGCTGGGGTCTTCTGAGGACCCCAATTGTTAAGAACTGAACCGTGTCTGCCCTATACCACAAATTCATATGAGGGTACCTCCCAGTGTGACTACACTTGGTGACAGGGTCTTTAAGGTATGAAGTGACACTGAGGTCACTAGGGTAGTCTCACTGGTGCCCCTAGAAGAAGCAGGGAGAAGGAGAGAGGAGAGACCACTGGAGAGGCAGCCATGAGCACGCCAAGGAGGAAGGCCTCCGGGAAAAACAGTCCTGCCAGCACGGACACCGCTGCTTGTGGCCTTCAGACTGTGAGTCAGATGCAGGTGCTGGGGCCACCAGCCTGACACTGCTTTGTTAGGGCAGACCTCGCTGCCTAGCACACTGATCACACTGAAAGAGGGCCCACCTCCTTCAAGTGACCTCATCTGGCCCTATTCATAGGTACTGGGGGCTAGAACTTCAACATACGCCTAGGGGAGAGGGGTAGACACTGCTCATTCCCAGGCTGCAGCTTCCAGCTGGGCTCAGTCAGTGGGAGGCTCTGCAGAAGCCTAGTGAGGGGGAGAACAGCAAGGTCTGAATATGCTGAGTCCTCTTGTTGGGTCTCTCTTTGTGGCCATCTGCTGCAGGCCATTTCTGTCAGGTGGCCCTGTCCATGTCCATCCTTCCTCTGTGTTCTGGTAACTGTCCTTGGGGATTGGGGGTCGTTGATGGCTTACCACCATTGCAGGCAACCCAGAATGACACCATGCCCAAACCTGGCCTACATGTGTGCAAATAGCTCTTCTAATAAATGCTCCTGTCACCAGTTTGAGTCTGCACAATGTCCTGCTGGGCACCTGACTGACTTGGGCCATTCTGAGGTTGAGACAGAACACATTGGTCAGAGGGGGATTCAGCACCATGGCTATGCAATCCTTCACTTTCTAAATCAAGGGGATAATTCTGATGCATCAAGCAGGGGAACTGACAGGCTGCAGGGGTTCCGCTAATAGCACCAGTGACGATTTGCACTGATTTTATCACCAACAGCCAGTTTCCTTTTGTTATGGTTTGTGTCTGGATGCCCCCAAAAAGCCTTATGTAGTAATGGGGACAAGATTCTAGAATTTGTGATTAATTCATAGTCCAGTGCTGGGATTATGGGTGTGAGTGCTATACCTAAGTGGGTGTGGCCTGCATGTGATATGAGGGGTGGAGAGTCCTTAGAGCTAGGAGAGCAAGAGATTCTTAGTTACTCCTCTACTGCATGCCTGTAAGCCCAGCACTTGGGAAGCTGAGGCAGGAGGGTCACCATGAGTTCGAGGCCAGCCTGGGCCACATAGTGAGTTCAAGACTAGCCTGAACTACACAGTGAGACTCTGTCTCAAAAACAAACAAACAAACCCCCCAAAAACAAAGAATGCCCAAGTATCTGTCACTTCCATGCCAGGACATGTTCTGGTCCCAGGTGTATCCTCTGCAGGTGGAGATGGTAGAGGACAGCCTGGATTTTGAGACAGTGATGGGCCACCACGGTGATGCAAAAGGTTGGGACACGGAAGTCAATCCCTGCGTGCAGACACTGTTCTCTGCGGCACTGCATGATGCTTCTCTGCCCTTGTGCTCTTTTTTTAACAGGCTGATCATCTGATGCTGGTAGAACAAAGCAGCAGAACATCTACCCAAAACAAAGGAACTGTTACCAAGGAAAAGCCTTCGTCAAGCTCTAGTTTCACTCACTCTTAAAGATCACTCACTTTGGGGAGCACAGCTGCACAGCGTAACATGAGTTTCCTACTGGTTTTGCTGTAGTAACAGCTATGTGGGTTACCATGGTGACAGTTGCCCAGGTTACTGCCCAGGGACCCAAAGGCCATACTGGCTAAGAACACGGATTCTTCACTTGTGCCTGAGTCCGATGGGTGACTGCAATGGGACAAGAGGCCTGGCATGTCTGGCTTCATACTGCATCTGTCCCCAAGGCTGTACCATAACCTTCAGGTTTCTGGCACCGCTCAGCTCAAGGAAGCAGCTTCTCTTTCTCCCATCCCAACCTCTGTGTCTCTTTAGCAGCCACAGTGACCCAAGGCCCTCACATTCAGCCCTATTGTAACATCTATGGCACGAGGCTGTGGAGTTCTGTGCACAGCACTGATGTCGCCACACAAACTTAATGGCTTCTAGTGCAGCTTGACTGCAAACCTGGTAGGGACAGTGTTTTTTTTTTTTCTGTTTTGGGTAGTGGGGATCAAACTCGTGACCTCACACCTGCCAGGCAGGCCCTGACTTGGCTAAGTCCCTGGCCCCCAGGACAAGTCTTGCTAAGAACTGTCTTCTGCAATGTGCGCACCCATTTCCTAGACCTCAGCCTGCCACAGCATTGAGCACAAGTTTGCTTCTCCCTCTGCAAAGCACCTGGGTCTCGCTCAAGACCCTCAGCTGGGGTCCTTCTCCCCCAGCAGAGCCCAGCCTGTGCTCCGATGGTGGTACCCACGCAGCCTCAGCTCAGTGTTTCCATGCAGAAGATCCTGGCTTCTGGGCTCAGTGGGAACAGTTCCACGGCTCCAGCACAGTCGCTTCTCCAGCACTCGGTTTCTGGCCTTTGTGCTTCTGCCCAATTCCTCCTAAGGTCAAGACCTACGTGCTCTGGCAACCACGCTCCACCTTCTGAAATGTGTACTGCCTTGGCCTGTCACCCTTTCCACATGGTGACTTCCATTAACCAGCCAAGCTTCCCCCTTACCCAAGGTCCACGGGAGGAAACACACAAGGATGGAATGGACCACAGTGACTGAGCCTTGGGCTGCTTTTTTTTTTTTGGTAGCGGGATCATCGTGTGCTTGCAAGGCAGATGCTTACACCGCTGAGCTAAATCCTCAGCCCCCTTGAGCTACTTAATAAACAAACAGGTGCTCTGCGCAGCACCTGTGATCAGGGCCCTTCTACCTCTAAAGCAGAGTTTAGGGGGGCGTGGTGGTGCACACCTGCAACCCCAGCAGTCAGGAGGCTGAGGCAAGAGGTTCACCATGAGTTTGAGGCCTAAATAGTATATTCAACATCAGCCTGAACTGCATGATGAGGCCCTGTCTCTGAATAAATACATAAATGAATAAAAAATAAAGGATGGAGGAAGGATAGTGCACAGTTACTTCATAGAACTCAAATCCCTCCAAGTTTGAAGTCTTAATCTTTTTGGTTTGTTTTTGCAGTCCTGAGATTGAACCCAAGACCTCCACACAGAACCATGTCCCCAGCCCCCTTTTTATCGAGTCAGAATCTCACGCAGTTGCTAAATTACCCAGGCTGGACTCAAACTTGCGATCTTGCTTCGGTCTCCCGAGCGCAGCCTTAATCTTTAGTATTTGTCAGTCACTGTTCTCCAAGTGCCTTTTCTACTCCCCTCCCACATTAATGGAAGTCCCTCAGCACCTGACTCTGTGCTTTTTCTTCATATGCCAAAAGACAAGCACAGAATATTCTGTCTGTGTCAGATATTCAATGAACACTGACTAACTTATCTGAGACCATCCCAAAATCCTTGTCCTGCCAATTCTCAATTTAATTTTGAATGACTAAAAACAGGAATTCACAATCTATAGCATGTAGATCAAATCCAGCCTTGAGCTAAAAATCTAGAAAGAAAAAGAGAGCGAGGGGAAAGGGGGAAGGGAGGACAGGGGGAGGGAGAGGGGAGCGGGAAGCGGGGAGTGGAAGAGGGTGGGGTGGGGGAGGAAGGAGACAAACAAACAGAGGTCACACCAAATTAGTCCGGGCACCAGATATGGTCAGCAAAGTGAAACATTTATTATCTGGCCCTTTTAGAGACTCCTGCCAGGGCCCTGTCTTAGTCACTTTTTCACTGATAGGACTCAATGCCTGACATCAACAAATTAGAGGGGCTGACTTTAGTTTGGATCTATTTGAAGGGTGTCAGCTCCGGGCTGGCTCCAGGGCAGAATGAGCAGGGTGAAAGGGCTCGTCCAGAGGGAAAGCTGCTCATGGCAGGGCAGCGGGGAAGCTGAGAGTGAAGTGAGGAGATGGGAAGGGGCAGGGCCCGCTCGGTCCCTCACCCGCGACCTGGCTCTTCCAGTCAGATCCCACCTCCTACCAGCAAGTCAGCAGTAAGCAGCCATGGCCCACTACCTTCCACAGGCCCCGTCCCGGGCACCTGAGGCTTTGGGGGCACATCCAGATATAAACATAACAGGCTTCATGCAAGAGCATAATCCATGGGTCCCGGCAGAAAGACAATGACCCCCAGGGTGCTTGGAAACCTGCAGCCCACAAGTCACCTTGAAATGAGATGTTTCTTTACCCCATTAACTCAGCAACGGAACTCTCAGTGCCTGGTTTGGTATATAAACCCCAAGGAATCTGCTTACAAGTCTACCGCGGGGGTCTGCCTCTTGCCTTGGTCATTTCCAGTGAGAAATAAAAGCAGAGAAACATATGATAGTTGCAGGTTCTGAGTGATGAAAATCATCACCTTATTAATTATCGACCTTTAATGTCCATTTGCAAAGTCAAGCTTACAAAGGAATTTCCTCAAATTTAATAAAGATGCTAAAAATGTTATTCACTTTTTTTTAATATTTACAATTTCATTTTTACAAAGTTCTGTACATAAAAATAAATATACAGAAATAAACCCCATCAACTGTCTGCATCAGTAATCCTCACTGGTGGGCTCACCATTTATAAGGAAGACATCATTCAACGCAGCTCGTCACAGAGACTGTCCTTCAGAAAGGAATTCTAATGTAAAAGAGAGGCCTCTCTACCGCCTAGAAAGTCACCGTTAAATCAACGACTGTGACCACCATCTCTAAGTGGAGTGTTCTAAGTGGAGTGTGGCACTGTTTAAATCCCATGCTCACTGAAGGCTGTAACTACACAAGTACAGTTAAGAAATAAAGCCGCCTCCCCGGGCTAGTCACTGTGAAAAGCGTGCATAAGGCAATTGAGTTGAGGGTTCGGGTTCACCTTGCCAGCGTCGAAAGTGACCCTAACAAGATTCCTAGCCTCATCCGCCAGACGACGGGCCTCTGCGTCCAGGTCTCCAGGAGCAGGACCCGCCTCCTTCACCCGTCAAAGGGTTATAGCCTGGGATGACAGAAAGGAAGCAAAATTACAATCAGGAGCCAGATATGCAAAGTAAAGATACACAATCTGTTTTCATGAATTCTTTCGAGAAACTTCTTTATCCTTCTGAGAAAGAGTAAAAACTACTTTCTGTAGTGTTTGAATTGGCTTTCTAGAATGGAAGAAGGAAGCCATTTGACTTCCTGTTCCTAACTCACCAAAACATATGCAAAAGCCCCCCTAACATCCTCTCAGAGCTGGGCGTGGGCGGGCATGCCTGGAACCACACTACTAAGGACACTAGGGAAGGAGGAGTGCCAAGCTCAAGGTCAACATGTGCTACACAGAGTTCAAGTCCGGCCTGGACTGCAGGGAGACCCTGACTCAAATAAACAAGCAAGCAAACAAACAAACCCCTCTTGGGATGGCCTGATAAAGTTCCAACTGCAGCTCCTAACGAGAAGAAATACATACTCAAGTAAGGGCTGATCAACCTACAGAGAACAGATTTCTAAAAGCCAAAATACAAGCTGGCGCTTCTTCAGTCCGAGCAGGGTTACCGACATCCTTCCTCCTCCCCCTCCTCCTCCAGTAGCTTCCCACAGCTGGCTGGAATACTCAGATCCACAGCCAGCCAGCCAGCCAGCTTGTACAGCACAGGGGAAAGGCTTGGCGTGAATGAGCTCCTCACCAGACCCTCCATGTTCCAGCCCTCGCCACTCCGCGGCCAGGCCGGCAAACCCTGTCTCCGCCTGCCGGCTTCCTGCTTACAGACCCAGGCCGACACCAGTGAGAGGAGGACACCACAAGCACAGTCACTCTCACCGCTCAAGGGGCCTAAGTGGCACTTCGCACTCTATGCTGAGGATTCAGTGTTAGTTTACACTGGAAAAACTCTACACTGGAAGAGTCTGACTTCACCTAGTGCTTACCATTTCCCCGCAAGGGCTTCTTGTCAGATTTCCGCTTTGGGACTACAGATGAAGTAGATGGCCCAGGACTGTCCTCCTCCTGTTTTGGAAAGAAACAGGCTTAACCCTTTAAGGCCGAGGGACCCATTTTAGGAACACCCACAATAATGGAACATAATGAAATGCTCTTAAATTCTTTTTCCTTTTCTAGTAACATACATATTTGCATTTCATGCAAAAATTCAAAAAATTTCAAACTTTGTCACTGATGCTGGAGTCAACTAAAAGGTACTGCTTTGGGCTGGGGGTGTAAGCCCAATGCCAGTGTCTGCCTGCCACAGGGAAGACCCTGCCCAGCTTCAGTGCCCAGCACCATAAAGAAAAAATTCAATCGGAAAAACTGCACTATTAGGACACTTCATCCATTAGTCAAACCAGTTACCTGAGGCTTTCTTGCATTTCGCTTGTAACTCTTGCCTTCTTGCACGCTGTCCCACATTTCAATCTTCTGTCTTCTTTTCTCTTCTTCAAGCTGAGAATCACACATCACACAGGGAGAACTCATTAACTGCCACCCCCTCAACAAAAATGCTAATTCGCAAAAGTTTAAATTTAAATGTCTTTTAAAAAATTCTGCCCACACTATCTTCCTCTTCGTTTTGTACACTGTCAAAAAGCAGGAAGTGTCAGGTAAAAAAGAGCAACAATTCTGTTCTTCTGAAACCTGCCCTTATTCCAACATTTTTGTTAATGCAGAGCTCTGACACACGTGCAGTGGTGGGCACTGAACCCAGACAGGCCTTGCACATGCTCGACAAGCACCTGCCACTACGCTACAGTTCTGGCCCCTCAGAATGCATGCATGGGGCCACCAGGCCGGCTTGGTCATCATCTAGGTGTTATCTATGCCTCCGGAAGTCACTTAGCCTCTAAGCAGCCCACACCTAGGAAGTTTCTGCCTGGCACTTAAGCCCTTCATTGTGAAACCCAAATGCCTGTCACATTCTAGTGTCTGCAAGTACAAGAGGTGAGATTCTTCCAACCACCCCTCTACCTGAAGGATTTTTTACACTTCTCCCCAGCCACCAAGAACGTCTGACTGGAGCTACAGCAGACGACTACTGACATCACAAGTGAGGGCTGACCTTGCCACCAGCCAGGCATAGTGGCACATACCTGTAATCCCAGCATTCAGGAGGTCGAGGCAAAAAGACTGCCATGAGTTCACGGCCAGTCTGGACTACACAGGGAGACCCTGTCTCAAAACACAACAAAATTTGGACATAGTCCCCTTCCAATTAGGGGGCCTGCACTGTAATTCTGTCTTTGCTTTGTTTCTTTGGAGTACTGGGGTTTGAGACAGAACAGTCACACTGAGCTACATTCCCAGGCCTTTCTTACAGACTGCCAGGTTGGGTTTAAAATTAAATTGTATTGCCTCAGTCACCAGGTGCTGGAGTAAGGGCACATGGCTTCATGCCCTGTACCTGCACTACACTGCTTAAGACTTTTTTCTTTTGTGGTCCAGGGGTTGAACCTGTGGTCTGCACACTGAGCTACACCCTCAGCCCTTGTATTTTCTTGGAGACAGGATCTCACTAAGTCACCAAGTTGCCCAGACTGGACTAGATCTTGGACTCCTTATACTTTAGTCTCTCAGAGCGTTGAGATCGTAGTGTGTGCCACCACGCCTGTCTTTGAAGTCATATTTTAAGATTTTTCCAGCTATAACAACAAACCAAATAATCAAGACATATTACTAACACATAGGCACACAAAAGCTCAGGCTCTGAAGTCTTTGAATAATTTAATGGGTGGGCTGTGGTGTAGTTCACTGGTTATTTCCTGAGCTTTGACAAGACCCTGGGGAGCACTGAAAATCAACAGAAAACAAAGCAAAACAAACAAAAAAACCCCTAACTAAAGTAAAACTATCCAAAATGACATGATTCTGTTTCTACAAAAAAGGAAATCATACTTGGGCTCACATATACCTAACTTATGTCTGAAGAAATGCCTGAAAAATTTTAATACTGCGTGGAATGCTTAGGTACTAGGAAGTCAAGGAGCAAAGAGAGTAAAGACTTTATTTATATCACAATTTTAATTACGAAAGTCGGTCATGTTCATTTTAGGTTGGTGACTAAACAAGATGAGCAGCCAATGACACGGACACTGCAGGCTGTTGGCACAGGTGACCACAGAGGGAGGAATGTGGAGGTGTGACCCCTTTTTGTGCTTTCCTTCTGGGCCCCAGCCAAGCTGGGCAGAGCAGCTGGAAGGGCGACCATGCAGAAATCACAGCAAGTCACAGAAACCACTTGTCCCTGGAAACACCAGAGGCACGGGCAAGATCCAAGTGCGACCTAATTCCCTGCTGCCCTACAGCTGGCAGAGGCTCTTTATGAGGGGATGAGGCCTGGACATCTCTGAAACAAACAAAACCAGAAAGCAGAGTTGTTTCGGCGCTCAGATCAGCTCAGACTCTTGCCCCCAGTATGTCCCTTCCTCTTCAGAGTTAGTGACCTTTCCTGTGAAGAGTGGCATAATCTACCCAGCTGCTGATGGCAATCGCTGGTGCTCCTTTTGCCTCACCTTCTACCACCTCTGACCGAACTAGGCCTCAGAATATCTTTCACACTGGACAAGGTGGCATGGGCCTGTAAGCCTTGCACTTGGGAGGCTGAGGCAGAATGATTACTGTGCGTTTGAGGCCAATTGGGCTCTACAGTGAGACCCTGTCTCAAAAAACAAACAAAAGAACAAGAACAAAACAAAAAACCCTCTCACAACTCTACACCTACCAGTGTGAGCCCGCTGCTATCTTCCCCTGGACAGGGCCCTCATGCCAGGATGAAGCTAACTTGTCTGGTAGCAGGGCAGCTGAACACACTGTCTTGTTGGGTGACACTGCTGTCAGAGACTTAAAACAGGACTGAGATGCAGCTTGGTGGTAGAGCACTTGCCAGTCATGTGAGACACCTTGGGTTCCAGCCTTAATGGCTCAGCAGCTGTTCTTAATCTTACCGACAGGCACAGGCACTCACACTCAGTAGTGCAAGTGCTCTCGAGTCTTGCTCTCAGTCTATCCCTTCTGAGCTCCGGATCTTTCGTTGTAACACTGTATTCACACCCATCCTCTCCTAAGAACGGTATTTTTCCTGGTATCACCAGTATCTACATAGGAGGCCTTGAACCACCTGTTAACTCTCCTGGGACAGGCCTGTCCTAGACGTCTGTAATAGCAACACACGCTATTACCCACAAAGTCTCAGTTTCTCCAGACTACACATTCAAAGTAAAACCAGTACACACCTGTCTTAGTTTCTCCTTATGCTTTTCAACTTGCGCATTTAGTTCTTCCTGCATTTTCAAACGAGCAGCTGCTAAGGCCTCTTGTCGTTTAACAACAACATCACGTTCTAAAATGAGAAAAATGAGGTAATTCACCTTATACAATATAAAAGTTCTTTGTCTACATTGTAAGTATAAAGAGGCACAGATGTCAGACACTGAAAAATGCTTTTGTGACTTATTTCCTCCTCCTTTTAGTTATGATTCTTAGCTATAACTAGCTACATCTTACCAAGAACATATTAGAAATGCAGACTTCTAGGTTTTCTCTAGCAACTCTTAATTCAGAAAGTCTGGGCCAGTGACCATGCAGCTGAAATGTAACTGTCTGAGGGGCAGGTCCTGCAGCACCATCCCCTGGCCCAGCTCACTCCAGCTGCCACCAAGGACAGGGTTCCCGCTGGAGGAGCACAGGATGGGTGCCCCTGTGCTGGGGCGTTGGAGGGAGGGTAGGACGGGAAAAGTCAGGCAGGGCTTGCGCTCTAGCTGGCCCAGGCGGGCTCCTGGCTGCAGGCACTGCAGTGGCCCCGCCGGCTGGACTCCTGAAAGTGCAGCTCCGCCCTCCTGCCTGGCCTCTGCAGCTCCATGCACTGATCTAAAAGGCAAAAGGCAGCTGGCACCGGAAGCTTGCCTCACCTCCGCCCTCGAGCCTCCTGGCTGCCTTGAGAGGGAGTTTCTTTAAAAGAGCAGTTACTGAAAACCAGGCTTCAAAAGTTAGTAGAAAAATCAATGTGGAGCAAATCACAGAATTAGGCTGAATTTCTGGTCACAGCATTTCTATAGGTATCTCAATAAGTATACCCACAAGAAACTGTTCAGTTTGTATTTACATGCGATATAAAATTATAAACCAATCAACGAGACACACATTAGATGTGCCACACACCATCCAGTGGGTTTTCTATCTTGGTTAAGTCCCTGATACATTTCACTAGCAATGGTGGAGCATGCCTAGAATCCCAGCACTCTGGGAGACTTACGGGAGGAGGATCACAAGTTTGAGCCCAGTTTTGGCAACTTAAGAGAAACCAGTCTCAAAACAAAAAATTAAAATGGGCTGGGGCAAAATGATAAATACATAGGAAGTGGGAAGAGATCCAGATGGACCCTCAAGTTACCTATTGTTTCAAAATACATGCTATGTATGTTTCAAAATATTTCAAAATACATGCTAATTTATTTCATTCATATTACTCATTTCTGAACAGAAAGGAACAGAACAGAAATTCACTGAACAGAAAGTTTTGTGCTAATTCATGCTTCTTTCAAAGATAATGATACAGTGTATGAACTATTTTCCTATTATTTTGTTGTGACACTTTTTCATAAATGAAATAAAAAACAGGGATGGGATGTAGTTCAGTCCAAAGGTCCTGAGTTTGAGCTCTAGTACCATCAAAAAAAAAAAACAAAAATAAAAATTACATATGCACCAGAACCAACTCCAGAGGCATAAAAGGTACTCCTAAACAATGAGCAGCTTACACTCATCGCTTTTTATTTTGTTTTGTTGAGAGAAAGTACTGTGTAGTACAGGGTGGCCTTGAACTGACTATAGTCTAGACTGGCCTGCAACTCTCCGTAATCATCCTGCCTCAGGTTCACACACTAATTACTTTTTTTTTTTTGCCTTTTGAGACAGGGTCTCACTATACAGTTCGGGCTGGTCTTGAGCTCACTGTGTAGATTCAGGCTGTTCTGAATTTGCAAAAGATTCTCCTTCCTCAGCCTCCCAAATAACTGGGATTATGGGAGTGCACCACCACACCTAGCTACTCCTTAGTCTTAACAGACTAACTTCTAAATATTTAGAGCAGGCTGGGTGCAGTGCTGCACACCCATAATCCCAGCACTCCAGAGGCTGGATTACGGTGAGTTCAAGGCCAGTCTGGGCTAAGGAGTAAATTTGGGATCAGCATGATCTACACAGTGATGGCCAGCAAAGGAAAGGAAAGAAAAAAATACACATATTAAAAGCAGTAAGTAAAGAACAACTAAACCTCGTCTTAACAGACGTACTAACCTATAGCAGCAGCCTCAGCTCGGTCCTGGAGCCTCCGCCTCAAGGCCCTCAGCCGGATGTAAAGCTTCTGAAAGACCACGTAAAGAAGGATGCAGCTGAAGAGGATATACCAGCCATAGGTAGCCAGCAGCGAGCCCACTGAAAAGAAGAAAACAATTTTTTTTTTTTGGTACCGGGAATCGAACTCAGGACCTTGCGCTGTGCCGCTGTGCACAGTTGCGCTATATCCCCGGCCCAGAGAAAGCAACTGTAAGACTAAAAATGCCACTTTTTCATAAAACTCCATAGGGGCAAGTGTAGCTCCTGCCGTCAGACCTTCCACGGTCTAGCTGCAGCAGCGGTCTTCCCATGAGTTAAGACTGGAGCAAGAACCTCATACCCGACAACTGGGGAAGTCACTGGGCAGGGAGACTCGGCAGGCATCCTAGGGGATCGGGTGGGGCGGTGCGGAGGGCGGGTTATGAAGGACGAAGAACTCATCCAACTCAGAAAGGCAAAGGCCTTTCAGACCTGACAACTCACACACAAAGGATGGAGTCGAGGTTAGGAGTGTGACAGGGCAGGGGACGACGAGGGGCCGCTAGGGACCCCGCTAGGGCCGAGTAGGTCCGGCAACTGCAACCGGAAGGGCTCGCTGCGCATAAAGCAAGCGAGGTCGGCTCCCCACAGCCTCGACTCGAGGTCCGGGCCCGCAGCAAAAGCCGGAGCACCGCCCAACGCCCGGCTGCAGGCCAGGCCTCTCCCGGCACCCAGCAGCGCAGAGACCACGACCCACCCAACATGGCGGCGCTCCGGGGAGCTGGCGGCGCGCGACTCTGTGCCCCTCGGCCCGCGGCGACTCACCCGTGACGTGCAAGAAGCGGAGTCCCTCCGTCTCCAGGGCCGGCCGCGCGGACAGCAGCTCCCCTTCCCGATCCATGGCCTCCGCGGCCGTCAAAACTGCAGCGTCGCCTTCAGTCAGGCGTTTCCGTCCATTCTTTACGTACACGTGGCGCTCCCGGACGTGGCCGTCGTCCTGACCAATCGCGTCTCAACCCCGCCCGGACGCCCGGCCAATCACAGAGGAGGTGTGGCCAGGGCGGGTGGGGCCAGGCATTAAAAGCTCGCAGGACGTCCGGCCCACCGTGGTTAGGTGTGGCCTCGTTTTTTATTCCGTGATAACCAAAGTTTTGTAGTCCTAGGATATTGAAGTCAAAGATAGGCTGTGGACAGCTCTGAGTCGGAATTTGCACCCACACTCTTGCCCTAGAGGAAGGTAGCTGCTGAAGTCCGCCCCACAAAGGTTTAAATAGGAAATGTGGGCAGCTTCCTACTTTTAAACCAATCCAAGTCTTCACCGACCTTCCAGGACTTTGTGCAAGGGCTTCATCAAATGCTCACAGTACTGTGCAGAAAACAGGAAATAAGAGATTGCAACTCAAGCACCTTAAGCCCATTTTAAGTTATTGGTATTTGGCAATTGAAAAAATCTGACTATGGTAGTGCCTTTGGAAAGTAATTAGGTTGAAATAATTAGGGTGGAACTCTCAAAGAGATACCCCGTACAGAGATAAAATTCTACTGTGGCATGCTACAGCGATTACAGGCTCTCGCCGGCCCGTCATGCTATTGGGCTCTGTCTCCAATACGGAGCTTAAAAACCCTCTTTTTTAAATAAAGTTAGCTAATACAGAGATTCCTTCCTATTGAAGGAGTGGAACTCATGGGCCATTGCAGACAAAAGCCTGAAACCTTTCCTTCACCTTAGAAGCCACCTAGAAAATGGATTCAAATAATGCTGTGGGGATAGCCATCAATTTCATGAGTTTAGAAAGTTTTGTTTCCTTGAGTTTCTTCTAACTTACAAAAACAATAACCCCCTTCCCTTTATCAGTATGTACTGGGGATTGAAATCAGGGCTTTCTTGACACATTTAAAGTGCCTTACCACTGGGCTATATTTCCAGCCCCTTTTATTGTTCAAAAATTTTTCTTTAGTACCAGCAATCAAACAACCTTGTGCTTGCCAGGCAGGTGGTATGCCACTGAGCTATATCCTCATCCCCTATTTTCTGAGATAAGATCTACCTCAAGTTGCCAGTCTGGCCTCATGTATGATCCTCTTGCCTTAGTCTCCTGAGTAGCTGGAATTACAAGTGTGAACCATAGTGTCTGGCTAGTCACTCCTTTTATTAGAATTTTTTAAAAAATTTAACACTAAGAACATTTATTAGCAGAGATTATAAGTTTGTGTGTGTGTGTGCGCGCTGGAGATTGTCCCCAGGGATTCACTCTACCACTGAGCTACAATTTTAGCTCTATCATTCTTTGTTTTACAGTGACCTATCACTTGCTCTGCCATCTAGGAGGAATTTAGTGGGGTTTCTTGGGTTCTATTTCCAATGCTTGGTCTGAGATCAGCTTTAAATATAAATTGCACACAAATAATGATAAACTAGTCATGATGAGCAGGGTTACCTCACAACTATTTTAGCTGGGCAGTACATTAGTATACTGTGGTAGGGTCACTGTTCATGGAAGCGGTTGGGACCTTTTCTTTCTCTCAGGAAGCTTATCTTTATCTCAGAAAAGGGATCACAGCACAATTTTAATGCTTTGAGAGCAGTTTGTTTTGTTTTGAAGATGGGTATTGCTATGCAGTTTAGGCTAGCCTAAACTATGTAGCCCAGGCAGGCTTCAAGCTTGCAGTGACCCTGTCTCAGCCTCCCCAGTGTGGGAGCACAGGCATGTGCCATTACAGCAGGCAGGAAGTTTTACTTTCATATGGTATTTAACAATTTGTGGCCTGGGTTGAATAGTTCATGTTTAATAGCTCTCTGTCTTCATAAGAGGTTTCAGATTATACACAAAAGCTTCAAGGATGTTGTAATGAATACCATTTAAGAGTTCACAGTGTAGCTCAGGAATTAAGATCTTAAACTGCAGATTTGCTGTTGCCGACTTTCACTCACATCAAGGAATTAAATCAAGCAGAATAACATAAAATGCCAAAATGTTGCATGTGGTAAGCCGAGTTGGTGGAAGGATAGTGCCCTTTATTTGCCTGTTTCCAGCCTGCCCTGCAATGCCTTTTCATTAAGACAAAGTGAACTGTGACATTTTCTAAAAGGTTTCAGATACAGCTGGGAGGTGAAGAGCTTGCCTCCCATCCAACAAAGCCCTAGTTTGAGCACGTGCACACACACAGACACGCTTACGCACACTCAACATCCTTTCCACTGGACCCTGCCATTTAAGAGAAACTAGCACCAACTCATGAAAATAGTAATTTTCAACGAATACAAAAAAAGCATCCCTGTTTACTAGTGGAACTAGAATGTGCGCGCTGACGGACTGTGAGGAATCGAGCACAGGACCTGCGTGGCGAACTCTCCCATTGCTCGCTAGCACACTGCTCCTTCGGTTCCACTGCTGGGTTTCCATTTCCTCACCAGGCTTATGTTACCTCTGCCCCCTTCAGACAGATGATGCTTGGCTGATCTAGAACCGTCAGGTGACTTTAGCAATTTGCTCAATACAATTGCTCACATGTTGTTGACAAATATAAGACAAAGGCAGACAGTAACCAGATTTCCACCTGTCACAGAGACCACACAGACTACACAGACTACACTGACCGGCCCTAGTGAGTCACCACCCTTTAACTTCGTACTTGGCCAGGCGGCTTGGTTTGCTTAATGCAAGTGGGTTGTAGTTCAGTACAGTGCTGGTTTAGTGTGTACTAGGTCCTCAACCTGATCCCCAGTGTGGCAAAAAAATTAAAAAAGTGTATTGCAGCAGCTACTGTTAGGGCTATCCTCACATTTTCACAAAGTGTACCGACGAGGAGCTAAGGGAGATCAGTGATAGCGACAAACAATGGTGTCCTCCTGCACTTCTGCCACGAGCCGGACACCACCATGTGTCCTTACAAACCTTACTCCAAAACACGTGATGACATGCATCTTGGCAACACAGTTAGTGGCCTTTATTTTTAACATTTTTAGAAAACTGACAGATTTCAAAATTCATTACAAAAGTATCAGCAGCAGTTTTAAGCTGTCAACAATGCTGACAGATCCCACTTTGCTGACACAACAAGGCAATTATTCCACGTTCAAAACCCAAGACTTATCCCAACAGAGTCTATCACATCTGCCACACGGCTCAGGACCCATTTGTGACTGTATCTTCTTCCATCTCCTCTTCACCATCATCAGTGGGACCTGAAGAAAACCAAAAACCAGAAATCACATCAGTTTTAGAGAACATGGGTAGTAGACAAGTGCCCATTCTATGGGCACTATGTGCCATAAACTGGAAAATGTACAAAAACAAACAAACAAAGCTGTGTCAGCCCTCAAGGAATTTATAATCCAGGAATAGCCAGTCTTTGGCAGGTAATGGAAAGGGTGGTCAATCACCAAAGAAAGTGAGAAAGGTGTTTTAACTAAGTGAAAGTGATTGATTACCTCATCATAGTTGTGCCTATTTATTTTCTTTGAAAATAAAAATTGGAAATACTAAAAACAAACAAACCAAAACATATATACCTAATACATGCCGGATACTGGTGACAGAGATTTTATCGTCTCTAGGGTAACACAGCAACAATAACCAAAAAGTTCCTGTATTTGTTCAACAATTTAAGGCAGGTCTTTTGGTCAGTGTATTTTGAAAAAGGACATGTTTTTATCCTATCAATTGTTTGGGAAGATTAGTCATATTTAAGTTTTGCTTCTATAGTTAGATCTAAACTTCAGATTTCTAGATACAAAAGTACCAAGAAGGAATGTTTTTCTTAGTGTTATTCTGAAACCTGGGGCTAATGAGGTCTAGCAAATACAATACCATGAGCAATGTCCTAATTTCCTATTCCCAAATCCAAAGAAACCCAAAAGGCCCAAATAAAACATTGTGAAGAAAGGATTGAGTCTCCAACTTACAGATGGTTGTCCTGGAAAAACTTTTGTAAAATGGATTCATTTGTATTGGCAAAGTTGAGTCTTTTATAGTATACCTGTGAAAGTTTACAACCCGAATGTTCCTAAGATTCACTGTAATTCTATCCTATTGAAGGCACAATCAGCAGTGTTGATGTTGTGCATTTCCCAACTTGTGTTACCACAGAACCTGAAGGCCTGGGCTGATTTCCAACGCTGCCTACCGTATCTCAAAGCCACAGTGCCCCCTCCCCCGCCACTTCCAACTTCTGTGGGCTTCTTTCCTAACCACACCCCTAATGGGGGGTCCATCTTCTGGCCCTCTTTCTGTTCCAGGGCGCCTCTCAATGGCGCTGTTTTGGTGAGCAGTCTCCTCTGCTAAAACACCATGCTGGCTGCATCTACTTTAGAAGCTCTCAAACTGTTAGGCATGTGGACTTGTACAGCTTTCTGTTAATTGTATTTATTGATCCTGTGTTGGAAACTGAAACTGGAAATTTTGGAAGACAGAAACTCATGAAAACAACCTGTTACATACTAACATTTACAATTTAAGAAAAAGTGGCCTTTCCAAAAAGAAAACACTGAGTGAGAAGACTGACAATACTTAATGCCATATATGTATGTATGTATGTATGTATGTATGTATGTTTGTATGTATTGGAGGTACTAGAGATTAGACTTGGGGAGATCTGCATTACACTAGATTACTTCCCCACTTTTTGAGGTAGTGTCTCACTAGGTTGCCCAGCCTGGCCTCGAACTTCTGATTCTTCTGCCTGATTCTTGAGTAGCTGAGAAGTATTATGCACCTGTCTGAAAGCCTCAAATGATTTTCTATACTTTCTTACTTGAAAATCTAGTGGTCTATCTCGTCCTCTGAATGGATCTTTTACCCATGCATGATTTTTTAACACTGGAAACCAGTGGTTCACTGCGTTTTGCAGATCTTCCAAACTTGAGCCATTTCATGACACAATGCTAAAAAAAACCCTATTCATCACTGTCACGACTTTCTCCCAGAAGTTTCTTGAGTACTAAGTAAGAAGCAGCTGACATAAATTTTCCAAGTTTTAATTTTTGCTTGAAACGTTGAACTTTACCACTGACAACA